TTTTAAGTAAGTATGAAATTAGGTATATTTAAGTAAAGTAATGTAAAGGAAATGATAAGTAAGCCAGAAAATAAGTAAGTAATTAAATCATTTGATAAATGATAACTAGGCAAACCAGAAAGTCAGCAAATATTACTTGAATTACTGAATGGCTCAATTGAACGCTATCCAAATCGTGAAACGGTTCTCAAGGCAATTAACTTGAAAGAGACTGCTGAAAAGTTTTCAAAATTCCTGTTATTTAGGTCTCAAAATTCAAATTATGATTCTAGCAGAGGAAAAATAAGCTTATTCGATATCGATAGTGGGTAGACATATGGTGGTGTGCACATGACAGAGCTAAAGACTGCCAGTGTTCAAAAGTTATCTACATAACATTGTGCAGGTAAAATATTCAATGATAGACTTTTGGTTTTTTAAAGTTATCGAAAAGACAGAAAACTATTCTCTTCGAATGGCCGAGAAAGCTGTGGGTTTAGTTCCCGGGCAACATATAATAAAAAATTGGTCACTCCCGACAAGTTCATTTTTAGATCCGGCTGCATCGTGCAAATAAGCGTGCAGTCATAAAAACTCGGAGTCGTTCAATTACTTTACCAAGGAACAGTTTTTCATACCAATTAAGCCGCCATAAGATCTCAACTTAAATGAAACGTCGCAAATAAGGTTATTAGAATTAACAGAAAATGAGAAAAAGCTAATGAAAGTTTCTTTGGTTAGAATTGTCATAATAGATTTGCTATAAGGACGTATACATTTCTTGAAAAATTTCTAAATCAATTGGAGTAACTCGGTTTTTCCCAATTTCAATGTTTTTTTTCAAACACCTCTCCAAGCTGCTAAATGACAGCCAGTGAAGATAAAAGATAGCTAGGAGATACTTTTAGGCTTTTCTAGTTTCCGGCGGTAAATAACCAAATGAAATACCGGAAACACTTTTGTTTTGTAGTAATGCACCAAGTTTTTGAAAAAAGCTCGGCGCACTTTTGCATATTCTTTTCCTCTTTCCTTTTTTCTACTCGTCCTTTTCCCATTGAAACTTCCGTTCCACTCTAGAGAAACACAGCATACTGTTCTTCACCGGTTTGGAACTTTGGGTTTTTTGTATGGTAAAAAGCCCTCTAAATTGTATAAGTTAATTATAAACATCTTAAAAACACCAAGTTCCCTCTAATTTCAATTTTCTCATTTCGAAACTTGGCAAACTTATCCATTGGTATAACTTGCCCAGAAACGGCTGCCGCTTTTGGAGAATTAGTTCAATTAACTGCCTTTTCACCATAAATTATAGGTCAAGTTAAGGAATTAGTTTACTGCTGCCAACAGTTAAGCCACGCTGTCAAAATTGCCGGCGAATTTTTATTATATACTATAAAAATCAATTTCACTTTCACTAACCAATTTTAACTAGGTCGGAAGCTCATTTGGCCGAAACAATTATAACAATTATCATGATTCATATAATTAACCAGGACCAATAATCAGGTCCACAAAAAGATTGGAATTAGAAAGAATTTTATATCATGTCCCTTGTTAAGCTAAGCTTGGCAAGATCCTAATTATGGGGTCTTCTGCTTTTTGGGTGTAAAAATTTTTTCGTTTACAAAATCTTAGGATGAGGGTCCTCCAAAAATTTGAGGACCCCTTTCCTAGGATTTTGCTTTACGTGAGGAAACCCCCCCCCCCTTAGGAAGGACCCCCCTTAGGGTCCGGGACACGATACAATACTACTAACTTCATTGCATAAAAGAAAAACTATTTTAAGCTCGCCTAAAAGCTTACGACTAATATCTTTTATCACTCTTTTTGTTATTGAACGATTGACATAGTATGGATCAGTTTGTTTTATTTCCTTACTCAATTTATCAATCGCAAAACACGCTTCCAAAAAAAGTGGAACAAAAGCAAGAAAAAGACGAGATTGTACCAAAAGATTTTGATTCTGTTTACAGTGCTGTAAATGCTAGATTGTAAACAAGTAACAACAAGCATCTTTTTGTTTTAATTTTGAATTCTCTTAGAATCGAACTGAGTCAGACAAAATCTTATTAGACAATCGAGACAGAAAAGAATTTATTGCAGACTTTGCGTGTGCACTAAAAGGAAAAAAAAGATTTTTCAGATACTTATTTAGTTAACACTCCTCCTTTCAAAATAAGTACTGCATCATAGGCTACACTAGTCTTGAGCTTCAGTTAACCTTGTCCCATACGAAGTTTATTGAGAGCAAGCATGATGCTTGTTGTTGCCTTTAGAAAATTAGACCAGGTAATATGGTGCCCAGTTTTTTCAAACCTAAACATTTTACCAGCCTTTGGTCTTTTTTTGTTCAGATTTTTATTATTGCTGTTAACGCATCCTTTAAAAGAAAATTGAAAATTGTAATCGAGTTTGTTTTGCTTTTAACCAAAATTCTCAGTTAATTCAATTGGTTAACACGCCAATTTACCTGAAATTATTAATGCTTTGCACATTCAATTACACCTTAAGCATGCTTGTTACATGTAGTAAGAAAAAATGTAGCTAAGCCTACTGTACAAAATACAGGAAACAAACGCTTCGGATTGCAATTACAACGAGTCGCAATTTATTTAACATTAAATTTCTTCAACATTCAGTTCTACAAAAACGAGATTAATTGCCAATCATGATACAACCGACGTAATTTTTTTTTATTTCCAGTTTCATGAACAGTCTAGTTATTCTAATTACATCCATTAACGATGAGATACTTACGCTAATGAACGCCGTAAACTTCGAACGGGAGAAGACCTTAATCATCGTCTCAAATTGCAGAAACTTATTTACAGAAGGGCGCAGAGAGACTACAAAAGGTCCGATAAGTCTCTTCGATCGTATTCTCTTACCTCCTCATTTTCGTCACGAATGATAGCGAGCAGCCCACGCAACAGCAAGTTTCGTCTTGCCACCCGCAATCACCATCAGCAACTTTTATGTCACGCTTTTGGGGAGCAGCAATGCCAACATGGCCATCAGTCAACACGAAGTTTTCATCCTTGACATCACTTTTTGCCTCGCTTAAGGCCCGCTAAAAGAAATTAATTCCAGAGCAGTCAAATTCTGGAAAACGCATCTATGCCGCAAACCAATGTTGACAAGTGAGAAAATTTGTCTCGTCATTACCACACTCAAGAAGCTCAACTTCATGGAACGCAACACGACCTCAACTTCGGATTTAATCTCCATTTTGACAAACAGCAAACGGCAACTAGAGAGACGCAACTACTGAACCCTTCAGTGACAGTTTGTAGTTGCCACCATACATGCCCCCCTCGGAAACTTGTTTTAACTGTTATGACACTAATTTGACATCTATCAATATCATACAAGAGGAATAGATGTTTTTCATGCCAGTACAGCTCAGCATCTTCATGAATCTCACCTTCATACTGGCAAATCCCTCAAACTGACTTCCAGGTCTCAAGTCGACAGCCATTAAATGAAAAACAGTTCAGCGCCTTCAGACCTATGAACTCGAACAGAGATTACACTGCCATGCGCAGCAATCCCCCACGCTTTTCCAACAAATATCAGCCGAAACTTATAAACCCTGACGTTGAATCGACAGTGCAGTCAACAACACAGCAAATCCTACTGTCTAGTTTCGACAAAAGAGTTTACGGAAAGAGGAAAACACAGCCAACACGATATTTGGAATAAACACAGCCCCCACTTAAGATCAATCAGGAAGCACATAAGACCAACATATGATACGCATCGACAATCAACCCAACAAAAATACAACCAACCCCAGCACCATTAATGAACAATATGATGAGCAATGGAGTGCACGAGCCCAACCAACGGACCCAGCCAATATCCAGCCAACAACCCTCTTACCGTCAAGAATATCTAGCTTTTCAGAACCTACCTACTTTCATTGCATCTCACAACGTGGCCTAGACGCAACGACCAGCACAGCCTGACTTTAGCAACCAGCAGAAAAATTCAGTCTTTCATGGAATAATTCTCATTTGTCAAGCCATTTATGTTATATTGAAACCCAGAAGAATGATTAAAATGGATCGGGCTCTTCAAGGTGACACTCGAAAATGCCAACACGTCCCACTCGGAGAAAACGATCCATCCACACCGACTTGTCTCCGGAGATGTAAAATCTCTGATCAGCGGATATTGGAAGCAACGGGTCATTGTACAACTTAGCATTCCAACGCCTGGGAAACTACTTGGCATTTCCGATGAAGATAGTGACAAGTTTCCTTCGGCGATTCGACAGCATCAGCAGTCCAACTTGCCACAGTAGTACGACACAGCAGAAGCTACAAGCACCTCGCTAACTTCCTGAAGACAATAGTTGACACCTTCACAACTTTTGGGTTCAACCACGATCTCCGCTCTAGAAAGAACAGTCAAACAGCTTTGAAAAACTGCCGATACCCTGTCGACTGGAATGGAATCACTAGCTCAACTTGATGTTCTTCGCAATTATTTAGTTTACCCAAAAAATTTATATATATATATAAATATATATAATTTATAAATATATATATTTTTTCAAAACTCACTTCGGTTTTCCGTAATTTTTCGTCTCAAGTGTATTGAAGCGTAAGAACTCGAAGTCTGAGTTAAAGTTTTTTAAACCTATGGTCTTTTTAAGCCTTGTTGCACCCACCCGATGAAATAATACCAAGGGGCTCAGAGAAATGATATTGTCTTATTGTACCGCCTTTCATCAACCTAAGTTTTATTGGCTGGATAGGTTCGTGAAGCTACTTGTTTTAAAGCCATGTCTTAATCTTACTCTTCTTTTCCGTGTTCTCGGCAGATCTGTGAAACACCGGTATAGAAAAGAGGCTAAGTTGAGATCAACTTTGTTTCAACCGCAGTTTATAAAGTGGTCTGAACAGTTAAATAGATCAGTGAACTCTATTTATTTAGAGTATCAAAGATTGGGTTGATTTGAATTCAAAACATAACAATTTCACCTTCTATCATAAAACAATTAAAATGCTGGAAACAGCAAAGTTGCAGTTCCAATTAGTTTGCAGTTTTGACATTTCGACGAAACTTTTCTAAAAGTTCGATGATCGTAGCTTGCCGAATCGAAATTCCCTTCTGATCCTTGAAAAGGTCGATAAGACAAACATTACCTATTTTAATTATGAGGCTTCATCTGTTTATCATTATAATTTATGTCTATAAATCTTTTTCTCTTCCTCATTTCAGCCGTGATCAAAATGAAACTGAGATCAACGTTTGCAATTGATATATATCTTCAAACTGGGAATTTCAAACTAGTTCCAAAAGAAACTTTTTTTTGAAAAAACAATATTAAAGGGGAACAAAATTTTCTTGAAGTTGACTTTAAACTGACGCTGCCGTCGATTCAATAATGTGATTAAGAAAAATTAATTTTTAGACCCTGGTAGTTTGTTTCGATTATCGAAACAATCAATTGGACCAAACGGAGGGATCAAGTTTTCAATGTAGTACAATTAGCTCAAAGTCAGAGACTCGCACAAATAAAGAATGCGGAAAGAATGATTGCAAACAATTGGAACTAAACTGATTAGAACTCAGCCTTATCTTCGAACGTTACCAGTAAGAGAGTCCCCTTGGTTTCCACAATAATCAATGGGATACCCTCTCCCCCTCATTCGAGGCCATTCTATGTGCGAGTGAGCAGAATATTCAACCATTATTATGGATCGTATTACTGCGGAGGTACCATAATAGCCCCCCAGTGGGTTATAACTGCCGCCCATTGCGTAGCAGGATTACCAGGTAAACAGATCTGAGAACAGATTTTTGATAGCAAAAAGAAATATATTTAGGTATACGCGGTTAGTTTACAGTAGCAGTCTTTTGACCGAGCTGATCTGAAAACTTTTAAGGGCGCATTTAAAGTTTTCTCGAGGAACATCTACAAAAATTTGAAAAAACTGGTCGAATTTTATGGTTGTCCAATTTGATTTCGACCTAGTCCTCAAAACCACAAAATTCTATAGCCAAAGTTTTGTGCGCTGAAGACGAATTTGTAAGAAACTGATTTAAAAATTATGTTCTTGAATACTTCTTTTGAAGGGTTTGCCCAAATAATTGCGTTTATTAACGCAAAATCCGAAAAACAAACCATACCGCGCCAAAAGTGTTTAGACGCCAAAGAAGTCCTGTAAAATATGGAGAGTATAGAACTCCTGAGAAGTAAGATACCCCAACGCATAATCCGCTCCGCACCTGGTTCTGAATCAAAATACATAAACTTAGCTTAAAAGGTGCTAGAAAGGGTCTTGATTATTGTTCCGACTTTTGATACGAAAGTAACGAAAAATTTGTGCTCGGGGTGGGTTTTTTTTCCTCAGACAAATTTCGACTTTTTAACTAGCCAGTTTTGACGGAAATTTTTCCTTTACTAACCGATCAATGCTGGTCGATGGCTTAGTAATTTATCCTAAGTTATAAGTCTCACCTTTTATCGTCAAGTTGTCTTGACAAACGTTATAGTAGAAACAATAGATAGAAAAATGTATGAATTAATTAGCTGGGTAAATACAAAGCACAGGGTTAATAGATTATATAAATTAATCGAACAGCTTAAAGAAACAAATCTATGAGGGGAGGTTTAGCTAATCTTATTTTGTTCATCAATTTTTTATCTTCTTACTAAGGTCGACGATTGTTTAGTTTTCTTGCGTCACCCTTGGTTGTGTCCACTTCTGCACTTCTGCTGGTTCGTCTGTAGTGTCCTTGTTGTAGTCCTTTTCGTCCTTATGATCCGGGTTTCCTCGGTATTGCGTATCTCGATTTATAAGTTTTATCGAAATAAACGAGAATTTTTTCTCTATTTTATTTGGAAAAGGACTATTTTTATGTTATTGTAAGAGTGGAAAAGAAAAATTATTTATTTTGAAAAAAAGTTTTTAAGAGATCGGACTTGCTGCTGATGACTGAGCAAAATGAAACACTGAAGATTTCAGGCCAGTCCTTTTGCTCGTAAACAGAAACCGGCGGCTGATTCAATCTTTTATTATTCAGATTTCACCTGCTCCTTTAATCTCCCTTTCTTTTGAGGGAAATTTCAACTAGTTTTTATTTGATTTTTTCCAATCAAACATCTTTGAAATATTAGTCCCCTTTGATTAAAACCGCAGCCTTAAGTTTTGACTCATTAAAAATTCATATTACTCAGTAGTAACTTCGAAAAAAATAAATGTATTGAAATGAATTGAAATTTTTTTTAAAATAGAATTTGAAAACTTTTTGTAAAAATCATCCCCCCCGCAAGCCATATAAAAAAAAATGAGAAATTTCTTCCATTTTAACAATCAATTATTGCAAATAAGCTTCTTCCGACCAATTTGGACTGATTTCTAAGTTGAACTAAAATCTCCGCTAACGCGTTTATAGCTCAAAAAATATCGCGCGTTAATTGTCCCAAATTGGCCAAAATATCTAAACCCCAATAACTTTATGAAAAATGTTGACAAGTAAAATAGATTTTTTTAAATTTGCACTCAAGACAACAATTTTTCTTGATTGATATTTTGAAAATTTCGTTAAAAATGGCTGGTTGAAATGTCGAAATTTTTCTGAAGAACTACCCGAGCACGGAACAACAACAACATACTGTATTTAGGTTGCAAAAGTGCTCTGTAAGTTGTAATGAGTTTTTTTTATTGAAACTTCCGTAGAGAGTAGAAGTTTCCGAGAAAATAAAGAAATTTTCAGTGGTTTTAAAGTTTTGATTTTATGGTGTTTTTACTGGTTTCTAAAATGTACTATGAAATCTTTCATTTCTGTCCATGCTTCAGCAAACATGAAAACTTCAGGGAATTATTTGTTTGTTCCAGCCAGCTCGCTATTTCAATTAAGGCTGCTTGATTTTCAATGTGCAACCGGTTTGTTCTGGATGGTCTATTAGCAGTAACATCAGCGTATTTTCAAGCCAGTGATCACAATTTAGCAGTTGAGATAAATTTCATAAAAAGCCGTAGAACAAAAACTGATCAGTGCTGATCAACAGAGCAAGCATCTGTATACTCGATTGCTGCACATATGCCAGTCAATGTTGTCAGTAAATTAACTGTGACTTTTTCATTTGCTGAATTTGACAAACTTGAGCTTTTCTAGACAAAACTGAGTGCTCAACATCTTCAACCGTTTGTTTCGAAATTATAGTCGAAAGTCAATTGTGTCAGCTTTTTGCGTGAAAATTGTTTCTTAATTTTTGATTAATATTTCTATAAATTGAACAATTGCATTTTGTTTAATATTTTATATAAATTGAACAATTGCATTAACTGTTTCACGGCAGGATCTGAAACCAAATGGGTATTCAATGTTGAATAAACCGTTGATTAAATCAAATGATCTACATACGCTGCAATACAATGATATATGACTATAATCATGGGCTTACATTCATCAGGTATAAATGATAATTGTCGGAAGATTGACGGGTCATTTTATTCCGTTTTGTATGTTTAAAAAGACAAAAGCTCAAACAAAAATAAAAGATAACACTGGTATACTAACTAGACTGACTAAATAAGTTTAAGTAGTAATAGTTAGTAATAGCTAACTGTTTTTTTTTCTATTTGCTGAGGATTGTAATCTAATGGACTCTAAATCGACAATAACAGGTAGAAAATCAATAATACGACCAAGGTCAATTAACAGTTGAAAATTGAAAAATACAAAACATGGCTTTCACCAAAAATAAAAAAAAAATATTTATCTGCATTAAGTAGCCATATAACACTCATGCCCATTGCCACCTTCACTTATGAAAATTTCCGACTACCCTTGAAATTATATGGAGTCGTAGTCTTCGCTGTAATAAAAATTGATGACATTTCAATTTCATCATTTTTTAAAGTTTTTAAATTAAATCAACTATCCAAACGCAATGTAAAAAAATAACGAGGCCAAACTGTGCACTAAATAGGCGCACAATTTTGTTTCCGTAGCTTCCTGGATTCTAGAGACAAATCTTTAAACATGTTAAGAGTTTGTCGGAATGATCAAAGAGAATGAAAGAACAAAAGAAGAACAAAGGGAGCGTCCTTGTTGCAGAATCCACTTACAATTCTCAAAATGCTTACTTTGGCCTTGTAATCAAATGGCAAATTAGCATATCGCAAAAGTTTAAATCGACTAAAAGCATGCCTAAGTTCCATTTGGCACGATTTTAAGACGGATTAAATTGCTGTTTACTTATCTCGTGCGTTGATTGTTCCAAATTTGCCAAACTGACAATCAGTAAACACCCACCCAAAGTTTTTTGAAAAAAAATCTCAGGTGAAATATTGCTGTAAGTTTGAGCTCAGGACAACAATACTGTTTGGCTGATATAAAAAGATTCGTCAGAAATGGGTAGTTAAAAAGTCGAAGTTTAAAGTTAAAAAAATGAAGTTAAAAAGACAAAAATCACACCGAGTTCCAAAATTCCAACACTTTTTTCGAAAGTCGGAACGAAAACTATACCGATCTCAATTATTCGGTTACTTTCATCGAAAATTGGAAAAATGAAAGAAAGTCGGAACAATGCATTTACCCGCAATGAGGATCCATGGATAATAATCAATTATAATGGATTTTCATTGTATGTCTCCATAAAAATCTAAAATAATCTATTATAGGAGAATAAAAGCTATCATAAAACAAATAAAGTAAAATTTAATTTAATTCATTATGACGGATAATGATGGACTAAAAAATTTATAACAGCCTAGAAGTTTTGAGTAAAAGCCGAGAATTTCCAAAAGCTGGAAAATCAGTTTCAAAACTTGAACTTGCAATCGCTAAATTGTGTTTTACATTTGGCTACAAAAGTTATTTTGTTTTCAAATGCCCCATGGAATTATAGAAGACTTTTCTGGCCATGTCAATAGAGTTCTCTAAACGAACTCTGCATTCTGCATTACAGTAAAATATCAACTATTCAACCATCCATTGGATCCACCAAACTTTTAAACAACTTTCCTATTAACCCATGATCTAACAAAAACTGATTTTTGTTATCCATGGTGTGAATCAGTCAATACATAAAAGTAAGAGTTTGTTATTTTGCCACATTTTATCCATTGGCCCGCAACGGCCAGATCGACTCTTCATTCGCTCTAAAGACTTATGTTATTTTCTGCGTTTTTTGTCCCTAAACTTAATTTTAGGTTTAAACAAGTTTTGATTCTTTTTGAATAGATTTTGGCACGTTAATAGATTTCTGTCTGCTCGGTACAGATATAGTTTCCAAATGCACATCGCCAAACTTTTGATATTGGTCTCGATGTGTTCCGTAAAGCCTCGATATCAACAACCCGGGTTACCTCTTTAGACCAAAAATGCTAGTCATACAAATCCATAAATTAAGTTTATGAAAAAATACTACCCAAACAAATTTCATTCATTTTACTAAAATGGTGTCATCGAATATTTTTCGAGGAACTTTATTCTTGATTTGGCTGAAATTCGGTGCATCGCATTAAATAAAAAAGAAAAACTCTTTGTGAAAAAAATGCTGATCATACAATTTCCATATATGGAAATTGTATGACTAGCCTTTTTTTGACGGCGACAACAAAAACTTTTCAAAGTAATTTTCCACCTGCCTCATTTTTTTTGCAGATTGATTTTTGTACTGAAACAAACATTTTCCTAAAACTTTTTGCATGCAAAATTTAAATTTTGCCTGCATAACGTAGTCCTGGGTACAAAAAAAATTGGATTTGTTTTCCGTTTTTCTGGAAATGAATTCAAATTTATCCAGCAAATTAATTCTATTTTTTTTGTAAGGCATAATTATGTATGCATTGATCAATGTCCGATAATTTAACAATTCAAAGTTTGAAATTAATCTTTCCCAAAATTTTTCTCGAAAACGCAAATTAATTCTATTTATTTTGTATGGCATAATTATGTATGCATTGATCAATGTTCGATAATTTAACAATTCAAAATTTGAAATTAATTTTTGCCAAAATATAAAAGTTTGATTCTTATAGTTTATGTTTTGTGCAAGAACTCTGAACTCTTATACAATTCAGGTAATTTCCAATGCATTGTAAATGCAAGACGATCAAACCTTTTGTGACTCAAGTTTTAAGTAGACTATTGTCTTTGTCACTTGTGTTTGTTCACAAACACATCCCAAAATTTTTGGGAAACTAAGTCTTACAACCTTTTTTTATTTATAGGAAAAGGCTAGTTATACAATTTCCATATCAGAAAAGTCACTAATCATAGACCTTTCATGTTTTTTTTGTTCTTATAGAATTGCATGAAAAGTGTATGATTAACTTTTTTCCATTTATGAAAATTGTAAGACTAGCATTTTTGGTCTACCCGAGAGAGGGGGTTGTGCTGCTGATAGTACCAGTTTAGTTTCAAGTAAAAGTAATTCATCCTTGATATATAAATTTATCCGTTACAGCTTAATGTATGTCCCGATCTTGTACAACACTCGAACATTCGTTTCTCCTTCGCTTCCTCTGTTAATAAGCTTGTCGACCTTTGTCAGCGAGTTTTAAATTTTGCGGGAGCAGTAGGTTTTTTTGCTAAAAGTTGTCGGTTATGGGCGTTTGGCATTGTTTTACTTGCAAAATGAAAAAACAAGATCATTAGCAGAAGTTGTAACGAAAATCTTTTCAGAAAAAATGTGGAGATTCAGAAGGAAACGAGTTAAATACCTGGATAAATTTTATTGGTTGTAATTTCTTATAAGGAGATTCAAAAACTAACAACAGATTGTCTGATAGGTTGTCATAATTACTAAGCCAAATTGTGCACTGGATAGGCGCACAATTTTGTGTCTGTATGTTTCTGGATTCCAGAGACAAGTCCTTAAACATGTTCAAATTTTGCCGCAACGATCAAAGATAAAGACTAAATAAGTTTAAGTAGTAATAGGTAGTAAAAGCTAACTGTTTTTTTTTTTCTATTTGCTGAGGACTGTAATTTAATGGACTCTAAATCGAAAATGGCAGGTAGAAAATCAAAAATACGACCAAGGTCAATTAACAGTTGAAAATTGAAAAATACAAAACATGGCTTTCACCAAAGTTGAAAAAATATATTTATCTGCATTAAGTAGCCATATAACACTCATGCCCATTGCCACCTTCACTTATGAAAATTTCCGACTACCCTTGAAAGTATATGCAGTCGCAGTCTTCGCTGTAATAAAAATTGATGACATTTCAATTTCAACATTTTTTTAAAGTTTTTAATTTAAATCAACTATCCAAACGCAATGTAAAAAAAATAACGAGGCCAAACTGTGCACTAAATAGGCGCACAATTTTGTTTCCGTAGCTTCCTGGATTCCAGAGACAAATCTTTGAACATGTTAAGAGTTTGTGGGATTGATCAAAGAGAATGAAAGAACAAAATAAGAACAAAGGGAGTGTCCTGCTTGCAAAAACCGCTTACAATTCTCAAAATCCAGTTGGTATTGAAATAGAAGAAATGAGAGAAAAGATGATTTTTTTTCGTTTTTTGATTAGATATTTTTCTTTGATTTCGCTTAAAAGCAAAATTTTTTTTTTTCTGTGATTGGAATTGATTATTTTTTCCTGTGGCGTTGTTTGAATGTGTTTTTTCACCGTTTAGAATTTTTGAAGCGTATCGTTTTGTTTTTATTCAAGCATTTCTTTCTAATCAGTTGAAGCCTGCATTGGAGTTCCATGAGTAAAAAGCTATTATAATTGAGTTTCACTCTCAGAGTCCAAGAAATCTATTATGATCAATTATAAACGGATCAGGTTATTACGATTTTTCGAGGCAACAAAATTCATTTTTAATCCGTTATAATCAGTTTTTTTTTCATTTTCCTCGACACCGACAATATAACTTATTTATATTCGTTTTCTTCACTAATTTTGAGATACAAATTCCAACGCACATGAAGTATTTTCTACGGTTTAAAGCAAAGTTGGTTATTTCGATTATTTTAAAATTTTAAAACTTTGATATTTTTGTTAACTTTTTATGTTTGTCAATAATTGATTTTTGTTCTTTTCAACAATTGCCGCTTACCTCTCCCCAATGTTTGCCACTTCGTACTCCTCCATCCGCCATCCCCCACCTGAGCTAATCCCAACCCTGCCCCCTCCTGAAACAACCCCCTTCCGCCAAATGAATCCCAACTGAACCAACGCCCCACACCCACCCTATCTGAACCGGATGAGATGGGTGGGGGTTGAAGTGGATGAGGGGAGAGGTTGTTGGTTCAGGTGGGGGTGTGGTTCAGGTGTGGGGGTGTCCCAGAAGACCAGGCAGGTGGGGAGGGGAGTGATTCTGGTGTTTGAGAGGCGAGGGGAGGGGAAAAGGCAAAGGGGGCAAACGTTGGGATGGGGGGTTGTAAGTGAGCAAAGGCCCAAAAGTTAGGGGGAAAGATTAACGAAATCTTTTAGCAATTTGAGTTTAGGTTTAGAAATGGAGTAGGCCGTACAATCACTTTGCAATGATTTGGCATTGGTCATTTGATAAATGCAGAAATTCTTGCAAAATTTTGCACGACGCGGAACAAAAACAAAGCGGAAGAAATCCATTTTAATAGGATTTTGTTTAAACTTTATAATCCATTATAATGGATTTCAAATGAATTATAATGCATAATGTTTTTGCGAGAAGATATGGATTTGAATCCATTTTTTTGTCCAATTTTGTTGTCTAAGCCTAACATGGGAGTCGATTATATTGACAATGTTTTAAGACACAAAAATCCATTATAATCGTTTGTTTTCAAATTTCTAAGATGTGGGAGCACTTTTTTTCCATTCTCTACGCCTACCATCGTCTGACGGGTCGATAATTTTGAGAAAAATTTTCCTCTGCAGGTCGCAGTTTTTTTTAAATTGAAGATGAAACGGCTCTAATCAATCATTGATCCCTAGTTTGAGGCGTCCAAAATTTTGATGATCTTCCAGAGAAGTTTTCTCTGCAGTTCGCAGATATAACTATTGAAGTTAAAATTCACTGTCTTCTAAATTCACCTGCTCGACTTTTTCCTTGTTTTTGCATGTTCGAGCGAGATTGGTTAATGCCCTTAAAAATGCTCATACGGTCCGCCTTATTTAATTTTCTCCTTAAAAATTTTGTAGCAGTCAGAAGTTATAAAGTAGAGAAACTTAAATTTAAAATATTGGAAAAAAAATCAAATTCCTAGAAAAGATTTTATTTTTCGATTTCTCTGCGTAAAAATTCTCGTACCCTCAATTCCATAGGACTGATCTCATTTTGTTTTGGACTTGAGCACTTGCTTCATATTCCATTTATTTTCCCTATTCTACGTTGCCACTTTCCGCATCAAATAGTGGCAACTGTTTTCTCTTCATATCCTCTTTCGCTTTTCGTGTTGCCTCGACTTCTTTTGGACTCCAGTGGACCCTAGGATTTGGAAACTTAGCTAAATGATTTGCCCAATGAATAGAACTTTCAGCAAGTTCGAGTCAGTTGCTGCGTGATAATAAATATTAGCGACACTTCTGATATACTAACTATGTTAACTAAGTAAGACATAAGAATAAAATGTGAAAAACGAACTTGATTGATTTTTTCTATTGTAATCATTTAGAAAATGAGAGGAAGTCCAATGAGTTTGATTAGACATAAGGCAAGTATCTAATCAAAAATCCCAAGGTCAAGTTATAAGCAAAAAGAGACTAAAACAAAAAGAAACAAGACACTTTAACTACGTTTTTTTTATTTGAATGGGGGAGTGGAAAAAATCGAACCTTAACTTTTGCTTAAAATCCGTTTAAGTCTCCAGGTGGTGCAATCTTAACTTTTCAATTTTTTCAGCCCATGATCTCCAAATAGAGGTGGGCGACTTTACAATGACAGGAAGTAAAAAACATCGCTTCATCGGAACTTCTCTTCATGTGCCACAAGAGTAAACGCCTCAGTTATGCAGTGCTGATTTAAATTATCCGGACAAAACGAACAAAACTTGAGTTTTCAAACGCGTTCTTTTCAATTTGGGTTAAGATTGGACAAAAAGTGAAGAAAACAAAAGTTGCTTAGAACTTCGGCAGAATTAATTTAGTGCAATTCCCACCCCCCCCCCCCCCCCCTAAATTCTCAGCCTAAATTTAACCCCAAAAATGGGTCATTTTGGCTCTTTTCAATTAATCAGAAGTTACGCTGAAACTTTTTTGTTAAATGATGAGAAACATATATGACAAAAAGACTCTTACACACCCAACAAAGAACCCAACTAAGTTTCAGAAAGGTTAAATCTCCAAAAATTTGATTAAATTGTTTAAAGTTTGTTTTTAAGCAAAAACTTTGGGTTTTATTTTGTAAAAATTTCATTTCTTGACTATCAAGCTAAAATATTTTCTCCTATACAGGTTTTTGGTGATACAACCTTTCTAGAACTTTGTTGGGGTGTGTAGTGGGAGGCTTCTTGTGATATATATTTCTCATCATTTAACAAAGTAGTTTCAGCGTAATTTTTGATTATTTGAAAGAGCAAAATTTTTTAGGTTAAATTTAGGTAGAGAACTTAGGGGAAAAATTGCACTAAATTAATTCTGCCGAAATTCTAAGCAACTTTTGTTCTCTTCACTTTTTGTCTAATCTTAACCCAATTTGAGAAAAACGTGTTTGAAAACTCAAGTTTTGTTCATTTTGTACGGATAACTTAAATCAGCACTGTATAATAAAAAAGCAAGGGTCGGTAAAAATATGAAAAAACTGTTTAAAAAGGGTCCAATGACAATGAAATGTTTCCATGTGCAAGAAAAAACTTAAACTTAAGGATAATTTTGTTTGAAATTAAATTTATTTTGTTAATTGGTTAAAATCATTGTTTGTAAATTATTGTCAACTAACTTGAATCAAAATGCTTACCCATGCTTGTTTTCAGCTCAATCGACTGCTTAATCGAAATTAGTTAACTAACTTAGCACACAAAATTTCCTAGTCAGCCTTAAACACGTTCATCTTCACATACTTCAAATTTATTTTTCACAGCTTCAGTTGCAAAGTGTACCCTTGTCTGAGTGACTTGGCCCTCATATCTCTGAGTGGGATGGTGATGGAGTACCAGCGGGTGTTGCGGCCCTGTGCTTCTCTCAGATACAACCAGTTCGACGGGTTCATAGGGGCATCCGGAATGGGCACTGTGTCCAACACCCACACTGGACATACACCTCCCTCTCTTCTCGATATGTTTTTCCAAGGTGACTAAAATAGTTAAACCTTGAAGCATTAGGTAAACTAAATGATCGACCCTGATACAAATGTGAAAAAAATGAATTTTGTGGAAATCTGAATAGCAACTTGAAAGAGCTTTAATACGATGTCAATCTTGAACCCATACGAGTTTTTTGAAGTACCTAAATTTGTAGAAACGCCATACGCGATAGTTGCTTCCCACTCCTTTAAGAGTGGTCGAACCAAGTAAAAGAAACCGCCATACGCGAAAGTTGCTTCCCACTCCTTTAAGAGTGATCGAACTAAGTAAAAGAAACCGCCATACGCGATAGTTGCTTCCCGCATAAAAATTGGTGATCACGAACTAAGAAATCCGTTAACCTGGTTTCTGCTGAAAATTTATGTTTACCCAAAAAACATGAAACTAACGATTGCTACTAAATATATAAAAAATATCTAAAAAACCTTTTTTTTGTCAAAATCATTAATAAAGTACATGAAAAATACTATTTTTGCTCGTGTTTTTTCATGCAGTACGCAAAAGGTCAAAAAAACGCAATTTTGGCTTAACTTTTAAAAAGTTTTGCGGATGGCTTAAACTTTTTTTGCAAGTAGGGGCTTTTATATGGCTTTTGGAGAGAACGGAAATCAGTTTGTTTTGAAAAATCTCTTTGCTCGTCGAAACCCCCCCCCCCCCCCCTTGAATAAAGTTGGAGAGTACAAAGTAGGCGACGCACTCCTTCAAGAGTGATCGAACCAAGTAAAAGGAACCGCCATACGCGATAGTTGCTTCCCACTCCTTTAAGAGTGATCGAGCCAAGTAAAAGAAACCGCCATAAGCGATAGTTGCTTCCCACTCCTTTAAGAGTGATGGAACCAAGTAAAAGAAACCGCCATACGCGATAGTTGCTTACCACCCCTTTAAGAGTGATCGAACCAAAAAGAAACCACCATTCGGGATAGTTGCTTCGCAGTCCTTTAGGTGTGATCGAACCTAGTAAAAATTGGTGATCACGAACTAAGAAATCCGTTAACCTGGTTTCTGCTGAAAATTTATGTTTACCCAAAAAACATGAAAATAACGATTGCTACTAAATATATAAAAAATATCTAAACAAATTTTTTTTTGTCAAAATCATTAATAAAGTACATGAAAAATACTATTTTTGCGCGTGTTTTTTCATACAGTACGCGGAAGGTCAAAAAAACGCAATTTTGGCTTAACTTTTAAAAAGTTTTGCGGATGGCTTAAACTTTTTTTTGCAAGTAGGGGCTTTTATACGGTTTTTGGAGAAAACGGAAATCAGTTTCTTTTGAAAAATCCCTTTGCTCGTCGAAACCCCCCCCTTGATTAAAATTGGACATTACAAAGTAGGTGAGAAATTGAAAAGTGCCAGTATAAGGAGCCAGATTTTATTTGTACTGAAAAATGATTCAAAATTCGTTATTATTACCAAAAATGCTTAAAACTTCTTTAGAACTATTATAGTGCAGTTTCTATTGCAAAGTTTTAATTTTAAATTCTGCCGTAAAACGGGTCATTTCAAACTAATTTTTTACACGCAAAAACTAGTAGAAATTGTAAAAATTGTAAAAACCCAGACTAATAATTTCTAAATTGTTCCATACTCAACAGATATCGAGAAAAAAGTCTCAAGTCTGCAATTTCTAAGTGGCATTGTTTTTGAACCAAGAAATGATCATAATTTTTTGGAAATGATATTCTCATTATTCGCCCCTCAAACAATTTGCCTCTCATTAAATCATTAAAAAGTTTCTCCCAAAACACTTTTAGCCCCTAAAATTGTCAATCAACAAAGCGGTGAATAATTAATCTTGCTATAAATTAAATTCTTGGGCGAAACGTGTGAGGACAAAAACGTGTGAAATCATGAGGAGCGAAATATGCGTTGGGCAAAACGTGACACTTATGCTTAAAATTGTTTAGTTTTGGTCAACGGACAGTATTTTTATTTATTCAAAAAAAGATCTTTTGTCATGAATATTCTTTTAGTTTGATTTAATTTCCCCGTTTGTTGGTTGCTTTTCTATACGTCAAAAGTTAAAGCATGATCAAGTGTCTCTTTTGCGGGCTTACAATTACATTAGAAGTCAATTATGAATAAAAAAAACATAAGCTTTAAGAGCATTAACATTCTAGGGGGAGCCCTTTAGGTTTTCCCTTATGACCAAAAGCCAGTTATTCGAGGGGTCTGAATAATTTGCCTAGCGCTGTTTTTACCACACACAAACGCGCTATGCCGTCTTTCCCGGTGAATATCTCTGTCACTCGTCCCAACGGCCAAACTCTTCTCGTAGTAAAATCCTCGAGTATCCAATCGATGTCGTTGACACGAATCTCTTCTACTGGCTGGATCCAATTTGTATGGCGTAGGAGAGTGGTTGCATACTCTCGATGGAGGCGCTTCCAGAAGATGTCGTTTCTCTTTTTCACGATCCTCCATGACTTTGAAGCAAGTTTCTGGGGGCTGTCCTTTCCAAGCATCACCGACGTCGAGAAAGGGAACTAGCGCCCAATCAAGAAGCTGTTGGGCGTCATCGGAAATTCGTCATTATTTTCCCTACTGACTTGAGTAAAACAACGCGAATGGAGTAGGTCTTCTGTTTCAACCACGATAGTTCTAAGCAAATCCTGAGTGCGGCGGGCAGAACCAAGGCTGATCAAGAAAGCTCGTTTCACCATCGAAATGAGCCTTTCCCACACCCCACCAAAAGGGAGGGCCGATGTTGGATTCATTTTCCAATCGATGTCGTGGTTTGCATGACAATCCGTACGGATTTGCTCTCTATCTTAATTGGAGTAACCTTGATTTCTCTACGTGCTCAAAAATATAATTAGCATTGTCCGACAAGTTTTTATGACGAATTGTTCGTCGAGCAATAAAACCCCATACTGCGGTAATGCACTTGCTCGTATCGTCAAACATGTGAACAGGCATATGTTTTTTTTCTCTGTACGCGTATATTCTGCAATGAAAAAGAGACCGATAGGGTCAATGCCAATATTACTGAAAAGACAAGGGCAGTTTTAAGGTTTCTCAATTCTGATTGCTGGTAAATTAGGCCATAATAGTTGTCATTCCAATCCCATGAAACCTGCGACAGTAGAAACAACGTGTATGGATTAGTGTGAGGGCTTGGCGGAGCCGTATCATAATGAAGTTCTGCTGTACATAGTTGCGGACGCGTACACGCAAAAACGTTTCGAGATGGATGCACCTGATGTGGATGTGCTCCAGCATCAATCGAGTTGAGGGCACTTTGGTATGATAAAAGAGTGAAAACTTAGTACTGTCCTTCATTGGAGAGTTGCAAAGACGGCCTCGGGCTTGCAGAACAATTCCATCCGAGGATGGAGAAAAAGAACAAGCGTGCATTGTTTGTGAAGCGGTTCATTTGCTCGCAGTTTCTTTGAAACTTCAAAAAATACGTTTGCTATGATTTAGCAAACAGCAACGCTTTAGTTTTTTTTGCGAGCATTAATGATTGTTGGGTTCCAATTTTCTCGGATTAGAAGTATAGAACAGATTTGCACTTAGGGTGTTGCAAAGCGAAGAAAGCGAAGCCAATCCGGTAAACGAGTAGAATCTAGCCGAGATTAAATAGGAAATGATTCAGTAGCTTTCGTCGCATAACTAATGGAAATGGTATGGTGTGTCATCAGAAGATGCAAAAGGAATTCTGGCGGAGTTATCCAAAAGCGGTATACGTCTGAAGGGACGCAACCACGGGCTCTATGATCTGCAGGATTCATCCTACTTGGAATGTGGTTCCATTGATCCATTTTTGACAGACAGAGGATCTCGTTCATGCGACAAGCACAGAATGATTACATTTTTGAACACAAATTTAGCCAGGCCACGATGGTTTTGCTATCTGTCTAGAACTGAATTTTTTAAAATATGATTTTTTTTATCCACAACAAACTTATGAAGTCGGGCTCCTAAAAAAGCTGCCTGTAGTTTCAGTTTTGCAATATTCTCTGGTTTCAGAGGAGCTACTTTCGTAAGACCAATGATAATCTTGCGTGAATGAGAGAAGCTTCTTCAGGTCGATGGTAGATACACGCCGCCATTGGGCTTTGGGAGGCGTCTACGAAAACATGTAATTATGGAGACGAAAAGGGCGTGGGGATTCCTCTGAAACTAGGAATTTTTACCAAAAAAAGTTTGCTACCTTGAGTAGGTCTTTTTTGATGACTGGTTTGTATTGATCACGAATTATGTCATACTATATCATTCCTGATCGCCGAAGTTCCTGTTAAAGAACTTTGAGGGTAATTACACACTCTTCGAGTTGATTTTTTTGGTATCAGCAATCGATTAAAAAGCTTCAGAACTGTATGAAACCAATTTGGTCAGAATGAGACCACCTTTATATAACCCTGATTTAAGAACCACAAATGACGTTTCAGCTATTGTCGTAGACAAAAAGTTTGGACAAAAGTTTTCCTAATCCATATAGAAGCTTTCGTTGATTTAGAGTTTCAAGATTTCAGTTTAATGTATGCTGAATAATTTTCCTGTCAGGTGCCAGGCAAAAATTGCAATGGGGGGAGAGCACAAAGCACCAAATATCAGTCTTCTCTATTGATATTACTTTACAGCCTTTTGGGACGGACAGAAGAAGCGTAAAACATTTTGATCCTGTTCTCTTATTCCAATTTGCATGAACATGCCTTCGATGTCTGCCGAGACTGCCATGGGGTTTTCTCTGAAGCGCAGCAAGATTCCGAACAAAAAATTGAGGTGATCAGGAACTGACTCAAGTTATGAGCTTAACGATAAACCTTTGATCTTGGAAGCTACATTGGCAACGCGTCTTACCACCCCAGGCTTATTCGGGTTGGTAACCGGATGATGAGGAAGGTGCCAAAATGTTTGCAGGCTGTGGAGACAAGAAGGTTACCGGTTTAACTTAGCCTTTGTCAAGATGGGTGGTCAGCAATTTGCTGTAAAGATCTAGCGTGACGTGGTCTTTCTGTAGTCGGCGCTGCAGAGAATTT